ACACACACACACACACACACACACACACACACACACACACACACACATTTTTTAATCAAAAGCTGAGTGTAGTGGAAAAGACCTTCCACTTCTAAAGACAAGAAACCTACTCTAAACAGGCTTACGTGAACACTGTGATTCAGTGAATACCTCAATCTTCTTATATTATAGTCAGTGAGTGAGTGTTTTGAACATACTGAACATCAATAACAGAAAAATGGCTTCTGCTGTAAGGGTGCTTTGAAAAGCTGTAACGAATAAGTTTCCAAACTGACTGTACGTGTAGCTGCTGTCCTCCATAAAGAGGAAAGCTACACACGTTTCAGAGCCTTCAAGCCTACAGGATGCTCATGAGAGGGGTCTTCAACCCTTTGAAAGGCCTCACATTATGATTTCAATGAATCATATAAACAAGTTGATCAACTGATTCTGTGAAGCTCTAGATTTTGAGATGAGTGTACATAAATCACGATTGATGAGTGCAGTATTTCCTTTCAAAAGACACAAACTCTGTGGAGACTTTAGTCATGAGTAAACGCAGTAGTAAAAGTATTAGTCAATATGAGTAAAAGTTGATCTGTAGCGTAGCATAAAGTCTAGCCTGGCACTGTCTTACCAGCACCTCTAAAGCCAACAATTTAACCCATTATACACCGTGTGCACCATTTCCTGACAGGTCATCTTACCCGTCGATGATGAGGTGCTCATAGGGGGCTTTCTTGTCACAGACAGGACACACCCAGGTGGGCTTCTTCTCGTTCATCTGGATGTACAGTGTGGCGTCAAAGCACTGCAGGTGGGAGCACGTCAGCGCCCGGCATGGGATCATGAGCCGCATCTTCCCCAGCTGTACACACATGTATTCAGGGCATGAAGAGGGGACACACACACACACACACACACACACACACACACACACACACACACACACACACACACACACACACAGTGAGGATGAAGGACGTACGAGATGCATAAATGTAACAAACATGCCAAACCCACATGGAAAAGGTGCACGACAGGGGTTGAGAAGACAATTTGACAGATCGTGTACACAACCCGAAGTAAACGGCATGTGGGCATGTTGAGACACATGCAAAGAAAAGAATGGACGGACACGTCTTGGCATGACTGAATTTCTAAACACTGGCTTGAATTCATAAAGAGCAGGCTGTTTACCGGGCAGAGCAGCGACACTCGAAGGCTGGTCGTGGCTATTTCACTGTCTGGGTCTGCTGTTAGCTTCTCTTTGACTGCAGAAGAGAAGTAAAACACACACACACGAGTGAGAAACAAACAGGAGACATGCTCAGTTTCTCAATTCAGACTGCAACTTCTTTAAGTGTTTCACGCAAGTGTTTAAGAGCTCCTCATGCTGTGTGAGGCTGACCGAGTCCCCTCCGCACCTGAATCTTCTTATATCACTTCCCGTACAGTAGAAAACACATGCACATAGACAATTGATGCATTCAATATACACTTAATGAAAAAAAAAGAATGCATATTGCACCACACTGTCCTTAACTGTACATACATTGGTCAGCTAATATGCGAGTAGGATTCATAAAGCCGACACAGACACAGTTATCTTCAAAGGGAGTTGGGATGCAGCGTTAAGACTCATCTCAGGCCTTACTGATATTAACACCTGATCAAACATCAGTGCTCTCCTTCTCCCCACATTTTAAATGTGTATACATCACTGTGTGAAACTCATTGGGGCATTTTTTATGTAGAATAACATGAAGCCAGAGATGGGCTTGAAAAATAAGTTATAGTAGAAACACTGAATTTTGTACTGAAACTGTATTTAATGTGCTTATACATAATGTCAATATCGGCCCTGATATTGATCCGGCATACTGGATCAGTGGTTCTCAGAGGTGGCCCGTTCTTACTGAGGGCTCTGGAGTGGTCCGGGTTTCTGATGCCTTTTGCTCGTAGTCTCTGTAACAACACTGTGGACGACTGCTGCTTCACCAAGTACACTGCCATGGAGTAACTCTGTGGACACATGAATACGTACAACGATGAATAATGTGCAAACCGATACTTTGAATCTCACCTGGTGACTGTTTTTGTGAAGTTCTGGGCCAGTTGCAGAGAATGTCCTTGAACAGTGTTACTCAAGGAAACTTTAGCAGGCAATATGTTTAAATATGATGTAATTATCATGTAATGTTCAGTCAATCTTACTACTCTGAGGCAAATGTGTGTTCAGCCATGTGTGAAGACGCACCGAGGGAAGGAAGAATTTGAGGCCAGTATGTACTTCTGCTGTGAGATGTTTTCTTCACTGCCCTCTACGGCCACTCAACTAAATATAACTCGGCATATGAGATCATGTACGCTACACTGTATAAAATATACTTTTTAAAAGTCAAATGAACAGATTGATTTGGTCTAAATAAGGTGATTTTGTTATTTACTGTAATCCGCCTTCACTCAGCCTGTATTTTGACCATACAGGGTGATATGTTTGGACTTTCCCTGACGTTTTGGTTACCATCCAGTATTTTTTCTAAAAACAAAAAAAAAACGTCATACAAAAATAATCCCTCTCGATCTTCACTTATGACCCACTACAAGTGCGTGGCGGTGTCTGTATTTACTTCCCCCATGCATGCAGAAGCACGCATCCAAGAGGAAACTACAAAAATAGTGGAAACGATACCCAAAACACACAGATATAGGGAAGTGTAACGCCAAGTGTAAAAAAGCTCGCTCCAAAACAAGAGTGAATCTGGGGTTGGCTTTCAGTTTCGCTGCTGTGTGTGATACTGCAGGTGGTGCACCGGTCTGTGTTCTGGTAACAGCAGTCAGGGGACGTCTGCTTCTAGTGTCCTGCATCGTATGCATTTAATGTTTTCCTACTCTGCTACACCCTTTAATGCTGTTTGGGCTGTAAGAATCCCACTTCAAACTGCTTCTCACACACATGCATGTGATGCACACACACACAAGTATTGTAGGCAGTGATGTTGTATAAAATGGAAGTCGGGTTTCTGTTCTGTTACGTTTGTAAAATGTTCTTGTTGTGGCGGTGTGTCAGTCTCATCCATTTAAACACAATAACTCAAGATGGGATCAAAACATTTGCAGCCACTTGTTGTATAAATTGGCATATTAATTATAACAATGATTTTCAAAAATATTATATAAAGATGAGTAAGTGCAGACAGAAGTGTGCATGAAAGTAAGTCATATATTAATTATTGTCTCGCATAATTGGATAGATTTGATTAAAGATGATAAACTGGGCTGCAAATACATATTTGTGCAATTAATAATTCATTAAACATTAAATCTTATATGACAAACAATATATCATAGCCATCATAACTCATTAAAGCCTGATGTGATATTTACAAATCTATTCTGTCTCCATCAACATAATCAGTTTAGAAGGACAAGAAAGCATTTGAGAGGCTTTCATCAGCAAATGTTTGGTAACATCACTTGATGACTTTATTACTTATCAAAACATTGATTACCAAAGAGCCCCTTGTTAGAAACTGTGACACTTTGGTTCTTACCCTTCCGATCTCAGAGGTCCACGACACCACAATGGTATTGGGGACTGTGGTGGACAATCTGACCAGTGAGGTAATGTTGATGGGCCGGCTGGGCCGCTTGGGCTCTACGCCGTTTTTGGTTGGAGGAAGATAACCCTAGATGTCCGACATGAATATCAGAGGGGAAAAGGAACGAAAATTAGCCTTTTTGTTGTGAATATTATAAAGTTAAATTCAAATGAAAATGACACGAGGGACGAGGCAGAAAAGGTTGAACAAGTGAACTCTTCAGATCCAGTTTAACAAAAAGACGCCACGTTCATCTGATTAATGTGGAGCCCTTTACCGGCAGATTACATGGCTTCCCGTTGACTTTCACACACAGATTGGGTGGGAAATGGTCTTCCTGAGGACAGCTGGTCTCCGACAGGCAAAACCGCAACTGGACTTGAACTGAGAAATCACATTTGGTCCCCGAGATGTCCCTTTGAGCACAGAAACAAATTTATCACCCCATAGCTGTAGAAAGGATGTACATCTATGAATTATTCATGAGCAGCATCCTGCGCTGAGAGGGCGGTGTTCCTCTTACATCGAGCTGCTGATCTGCTGGACTTGTTGTGGCGTTAACGCAAAGGCGAAACATGTCTCCTGAAACCGCTGGCTGTTGTCTGAGGCTGCAGAGGCAGGGAGACAGAGGAAGGGGAGACATTTTTAGTAACCAGCAAAGTCACATGCATGCACCAAGTTTCAAACAGCGAACAAATGTCAGTGACACCAAGACAGTGAGATAAATAAGACCAAGCGTTACAGTAAAGTACAGTAAACGACTGTTTTAATCTACAGACGAGCATAAAACAAAGAGAGAAGAAGTGTGTGTCAAGTGTATCAGTGTATCTTGTATAATTAGCATTATTGGTACCTGGACGTCAAAACCAGACTGCCTCACACGAAGGTGAAGAAGAGGAAGAAAATGTGTGTGTGTGTGTGTGTGTGGGTGTGTGTGCACTCTATTTATAGGCCCACGGAGAGGTGCTGGAAATAACTGGTGCTACTAACCCAGCCTCCATTAAAGAGGCAGAAAGTTGGCAAAGAAAAGTGTGTGTGTACGTGCTAGAAAGAGGTTAGCATGAAACATGGAGCTATGAGTGTGTTTTGTGTTTGACTGTAAAGGAATAATTCAACATTTTTGGAAATATGCTAGTTCTGTCCGAGAGTTGGATGAAAAGATCGAAACCACTCTCGTGTCTGTGCTCAGGATGAGCTAGAGGTGGGAGGCGATTAGCTTAGCTTAGCATAAAAGACTGGAATCAGGGGGAAACAGCTAGCTTAGCTCTGTTCAAAGGTAATAAAATACACACACTGCTAGAGCTCACTTATTAACACGTTGTACACCGTTTGTGTAATCTGTACACAAACAGAAGAACGAGTTATGAGCCGCAACTATTTCTGGATGTACTGTTTTTTGACAGAACAAATCCTGATGAACCTTGAAACTCAACAGTTTAACAAGACGTTATCGGTTCACACAGCAACGGTGGACAGAACAGACAGTTCTGCAGATTTACGTAAGAACTCAACCCAACCCGCCCCAATTTCATGGGCTTAACGTTCCCTCATAATGATCAATAAAATCCTTTTTTTTTTTTTTTTTTTAATTCCAACTGAGAGACAGATGTCTAAACTCAGTCCCTGCAGGAAACGGCTTCGTTGTTTGCAAAAGGGAAACCAACTGCAAAAGCTTATAGCATTCACCACAAGAGTGCTGCGTACAGCGGTGAGTTAGCATTACAGACCAGTGGAACCTTTTCTTTATTTTTTTACGTTTTATAACAGAACTCCTTTTGTGTGTGTGCCTGTCGTATCTTGAGTGACATGCTGAATCTCAGTGGGAACCTTTTGGCCTGAAGGCTGCGTAAAGTGAGGGGGAAGATAAGTTACCGAATTGAATCATGATTGCTGCTTTAATTACTTAAAATATCGGTGAGTGGCAGTTAAAAACACATGCAGAGTATTGGTGTGCACGCATGACCAACACACACCCAGCAGGACAATCACAGGTCGGTAATTTCTCTCCATGTAGGGGACGATTACTGGACCAATCATGTTCCTTCTTTCAAACAGCCTTTCATTTTCACAGTAATTAAGAGACATTCTTACCACCAACATGGTATATAATTTCTATGGCATGGTTTTTTTTAATGATGCACCTTCTTTCTGTTCCTGCATCTTAGGAGCGGCAGTCTGTGTACTGCAGAACAAAATCATACGCACCAAGTGTGCTTTCGAACTACAGTGTTCCTCCTCTCCGGGCACACGGGCTATAAATAGAAAGTGCTCTCTCACTCTGTCCTCTCTCTCTCTCTCTCACTCTCCCCCATCATCTCTCCATCGCTCTATAACTCACTCTCTCTCTGGCAGCGGGTTTTTTTTTCTGGTGTTCAATGTGTGTGGTTGGGAGAGATATGAGAAGGGTTGAAATGAGCTTTGATGGATGTCTTCCTCTCTCGCTCTCTCTCTAACACACAAACTTACTTTTACCCCGACGCACACACAAACTCCCACAGTGGCTTCTCTACCTCCAGTGATTTAAGATGCATACACAGTGTTTCTATTTTTCGGACACATTGTGATATTAAAACTGAGGCTTGATGTCAGACTGTAATACTTTTCTGGTACTGATCTATTGAAGTGCTGAGACCCGGCATCAAACGCTCAGATTATACATATCCATGATCAGGCATTGTCTGAGTTAAATCAACCTTTTGCCAAATGTATCCTCTATCATAGACTATTTCTTTAAGAGTTGTTCCCCCTTTTAAAGTCATTATGCTAAGCTAACAGGCTGCTTGCTACAGCTTCATATTTAGCGCAGAGAACTTGCAGCAAGAAAGCAAACAATTATATTTCCTAAAATGTCAAACTATGATTTTAAATTTGAGGAGTTTGGCTTATGTTAAGTCAAAAATACATTCATCAGTGTAAGGTTTGTTAAAAACTATCATTATGGTATTTGAACTGGATCAATATCGAAAAATATAAAACCATACCCAGCCTCAGTAAAAGCTGAAAATACTGTCATATGGAGGAAAACATTTGGTGTGTTGTGTCTGTGTGAGGTAGATTAACTGAGAAATTATGGAGAGTTTCAGAACTAATATTTAAAAATGACTCCACTGACACGTGAAACCGAAATCTATCATCAAATCTATCTCCTGCTGCTGCAAACCAAAGGTTACGTGAATAAAAACAGGCTTCAAACATGAATGATCTTATTCTGATGTGCGTTGTCTCAGTCTTTCTTCTCTGAGCAAAGAAACCCTGATAGAAGCTGCAGTCTTATCAAATATGTATATCGGTGAAAATATAAACAAAGCGATGAAAGCATGTTTGACTTTGGATCATTTGTTAAGTAGAACGCAAGACGGGCATGCAGGATGCTACATTTGATTTTTATCACGTTTAGTCGAGACAGAAACTCTGTAATTGAGGAAAGAAGCGTCATTAGTTGACATCAAATACAGAATACGCTTTCAATGAATAAAGTCTCTGCTTAACGTCGCTGAAAGAAGAAGACACAAATAGGATGATGCTATAAACAGAATTGTAATTACTGTTATTGAGCCCATTTCTGTCCCTGCATGTAATCGTAGTTCTGTTAGTGCTGCTTATTAGAATGTGAACGTTTCACTGGGACATTCATTTTGAGACACGAGTGTCATTACAACAAACAAATCTGAGCTTCTGTCGGTGCAAATCTCATCAGCTCGACATCGACTTTTGAAATCAATCCAACCGTTTAGATGTTTGTGCTTTAGCCATCTGGAGTAATGTTAAATGTGACGTAAGAGAGCATGATGTATGACATGGGAACCTGCAGACTCTCTGTCCTTCATGGGACACAGTCTGTGTCCCCCGCTGTCTGCTGTACCAGCCAACATGCTGCATAAGACTTTGTTTAATAATGTAAAATGTATGTGATGGAGAGACAGATGGTGGTGGGCAGAGTGACAGATGGGAAAATGATCTCCAATGGGTTGATGTTTACAGTGAAGAGGAAATTAACCAGGGAGGACACAAAACATAGTTAGCTGCCATTTTATTAGGTTTTCTGTATGAAACTATAGTCTGAGAGGTTTCTTATAGTTTCTCAATTACAGAAAATAAAGGCTAGTTGAAGCTGTAGTGTTGGTGAAGTGTATTCGGGTTAGTGTTTCTAATATCTAATCTACCCTCACTGATATAAATAGGGTGGACAAAATAATAGGAACACCCGGCAGTACAGCCTCACGAACCACAGCATCTAAAAGTACCATATAGTAGAATAAACAACTTTCTAAAACTGTTTGACAAAGACTGAACATTACAACCTTCATGGAGTTATTGCAGGGCTGCTACATTAGTGTTTAGCTCACGTCATCAGAGTGAACGTTTGACAAAGTGAAATTGAGGAACATTTGCAAACCTTCAAATATTTGCTTAAAGTCCATTTAATCACGTAGAAATTTGAGGTACTTGTACTTTACACGAGTACTGTGTTTCTATTTTATTTAACTTGTACTTAAGAAAATTATCCTGCTTAAAGATGGATAAACTATTTGAAGTTGAGCTGGAAACTGTTTCTATGAGCTCGTGAAAAGTGGACTTTTTAGAGATTTGTGGTTCTCAGCGACGCTGCAGACACACGATGATCTTATAGAACATGATGAATTGCTGTAGAGTAAACTACCCAACTGTATATAAAGAAGTTACAATTAGCACAACCATAAACATCTACAGCAGTAAAGTGCAACATACTGTAATATTTATCCAAATTTAAAACATCAATTGTACTTTTACTATTCATACTTTAAGTAAATATGCAGACATTGCTTATATATTTAAACTTAAGTAATGTTTGTACTTTTACTTGCAATTGACTGTTTTCACAGTGTGGTATTAGTACTTTTACTGCAGTAAAAGATCGCAGTACTTCCTCCACCACATGCAGAAGACTACCATTACTGGTCACACTGGGAGGAAGGGAACTAAATGCTTGTCATTTACAAACCAGAGAAATATAACAAGACTTTATACCCGGCACAGTTATGACCAAACTAGATTTATGTTCCAGCTCGGACTAATGATGAATATGAATATTCTGTCAATGCTGACTGTGACCCGACAGTCAGTAGAAACCTCGAAAGCCCTCGGTGCCGGTTTAGTCCTGGTTTGAAGAGAAGATGTGTGAGCTAAGCTACAGAGAATGTGCTCAGCTCTGAAGCCCGTCTTCAGCACAACAAAGCCCAGCTGGAGTTTATTAACTTGTTAGTGGCTCTGCTACTTTTTCTCTGTTTAGTGCACCACAGGCGCACGTACGCACGCAGGCACACGCACGCACGCACGGACACACACACGAAAAAACCCAACATACAGCAACATTCACGGGCAGAACAAAGACACAAATCCTTTCAGCGTCACTCAAACTCAAAACGACAATGTTAGAAGGATCTGAAAACAAAAAGGCCAGATCTGGATGTTACACCCACACACACTGTCAAAAGAACATTTTCCAGAAGTGTTACGTCCCCTCCCCCCTAACAGCAGCAATTATCCTTTATTATATGCATAAGGGTGTGCAGTTATATATTGACAGCGCTCATTAAGGCATTCCAGTGTACTTGCAGGACTGCTGAGG